AATGTTTTTCCAGAAACGTAATGTATATCCTTTTAATGTCTGATTCATCACTGTGATTGCTTTAAACACCGTTGGATTTTGTAGAAATAATTATTTTAAAATCATCTCCGACGCTTCATCTAATTTGATATGCAATATTTGAAAATTTATTTTTGATTCGCTTCTGCAGTTTTTCGATGTTTATCGAATGATGTTGCATTAAAAGGCCTTTTTCTTCATAACTGCGTAGTTTTCTCATTATTTTGTGTGCGATAGTGATTTTTGAACCGGTTTGTCAAAGGCATACTTTAATGTTCAACCATGGATAGGATCCATACGTCTCCAGCTGTCATCACCGACTACGTGATGTGTTCAGGAAGATTCGAATACTCAACTATTACCCCTAGGTGCTGGCATTCTAAAGGCACTCATAACAGTCAAAGCCCTCAACGTGCCATCCGGGTGTGTAAATCTCAATCAAAGTGTGACACAGGGTGTGTAGTACTTGTATTTGCAAATTTTCCAAGACACGCACCTCTGTCGCACGCTGTAGTCGTCCTGCGTTCCAGCCGCCGACGCTCCACTGGAGGGAAATATCCAAGTATTCATATTTATGCCAACAATGTTCAATAGAAAAATAATCGATGGTAATGTTGTGAAATCTTTACCTATCGATAGGTCGGCCGTGTGATTTCTCGAATGGAGACGGTATTTTGGAGCAATCAATTTGAATTCGGAAAAAGAGTGTCAATTTTAACAGGATTTCTTAATTGTACCTCAGGTTACCTGTGGTTAGATAAAGCCACGCGTCGTATGAGCAGTGTGTCAGTACCGCTTTGCATTCCTGCGAATTTGGTCCCAAACAACTGAGCTTTTAGATGACCAGTGTGTGTAATGGCGAACGCTCCAGCTTGGATATCAATTAGCCAGGGTAGGCCTCATTTTCCTGTTCGACGTATAGCTTTTTATCTTCCCCATTAAAGTTCAGACAACACTGAAAACACATTTGGGTCTAAATTGGCGTTCTTTATTAGGCTTTCACCTCTTGACAATCATTTCAAAATCCATGCAAAAAAACAACTTATCTTATTGCCTTAATTGTGCAATCAAAACATGTCTATGCAATGAAGCGGTAGTTAAAAGCTACATACTAATTATCAAGGGCACCTAATTTCACCAAAACGCTAGAGTCCAGATAAACTTCTTATCTGTAACCGATGACGTACACATCGCTCCAATCTTCCCGTTCTTGCAATTTTCCTGCAATGTGCTTGATCTTGCTCTTCTTAGCACCCTTCTGGCCCTCGGCGTCAACCAATATCACTCTTAACTTCTTGTCGCTCGTCTTTATCGGAAACCACAGGTTGGCGGAGTTGATAACGTTCATGTCCTGGCCAGTGACTATGTTCATGAACTGATTGTATTCTCTGCCATCTTGGCTTGTGTAAATCTTGTAGTAGTATCGGTGAAAGTCGCCTTCTCCTTTCGAAGTGATGAATGTATAAATGAGGACCTCTTCCGCTCCGTTTGGTACGGCGTTATCGAGCGAGAGGACAACTGGCTCCTGAGTG